GGCCTCAGTGTAAGTTTTATTGGTTTTGTTCTGTACTATTTTGATCAATTCTATTATACCTGATGATATAGACAACTCAATTTAAAAATAGCAAGAGGCACAATGGTAACCACTTTTGATTACCTGGTATTCTATTTTTGCATCATGTGCTATGCCCACCCTTCTGTTCTGACTCTGTTTTGCTTAGTCACATTTGGTTTTATTCTCTTCAAAAAAGTAGTAAGAACCTTGAGAGTAATAAAACCCTAAAAGTCTAATTGTTACTGTAAAAAAGAGAGGAAAGTAAGGGGGACTAAGGGTTATAACCGCAGGTATGTTCGAGTGTGTAGGATGGAAAACCATATAACTGAGCTTTTGTTGGAGCATTGAACGGAACTGCCTCTAATTTCACTGTATGAATGTCCACTTTATATGCTTTAATTTAGTGATATGGAAAACTGTTTCTGGGAAGATAATATGTAACCTATTAACTGGTGATTTCGTACTGTATATATTTTTTTCTTGAAATACTGTATTATTTGTACCCTTTTACTACATTGTTTTTTTATGTCCTTTCTTTTTCTTCTCTCTTTAAATTAAGAAAATAAATAAATAAATGTATATGCATACACAAGGTAGCTAAGATAATTATACTACTACTTTTAGTTCATTGAAAAGAATGGCTTGTGTTTATAATGTTTGATCAATTTTGCAGGTCTATGTCTCATCTGAGCAACTACTCTGAAGATAACATTACACATGTATTAACCTTTGGTAATTTCCTATTATCTTGTTTTGAAATTCTGTATTATTGTTGTTTTCTAAAATTTAAAAAAAAATTTTAAAATGCCATTATCATCAGTTTTTGTTTTAAAGTTTTTCATTAAAATATTATTTCACATATAACAGGTTTATTATTTTAATGAATTTCTCAATTTTAATTTGTAATATGTTAATCCTGATATCAATAACACAATGTTTTGTTTTGTTTTTGGTGTTGAGGCAGGGTCTCATTCTGTAATTTAGACTGGACTTGAATTCATGATTTAGCCTAGGGAGGCCTCGAATTCACAGTCCTCCGGCTTCAGCCTCCCAATTGCTGGGGTTTTAAGTGTGGCCACCGTGCCCAGCACATCATTAATAATTTTAAAATGTATAAAGGCATACTAAAGCCAAAAAGCTTGAAAAACTACTGATGTAGGTAAGTTCACACATAGGCATTAACTCATACATATGGTACCTCATTCCTCAAAAATATAGATGTATTTTAAGTGTGAGGCATATATATGCTATATTACTCATGTTTATGAAATAAATTGCCTTGTATTTTCCTATTATATTACCTTCTGGATCATTCACAAAGTCTCCCCTTAACTTGTTCCTAGAGTAATAAACTGTCAAAGCTGCTGTGTAGTACTAGTAGCAATGCACAGGCCCTTATCATATACTATGGTTCCATTACCTGGGTGAAGAAGGGAGAGGATGAGTGGGCCGAATACCTACTAAGAGCCAGGTTCTGCAGGTATTTCATATATACATTATCTCTTAGGGACAACTGTCAAGGAGTGAATGCTTATCCAGGTCTGGGGCATCATTATCCACTAGAATAAGTGAAGAAAGAGAGATACGAACCCATGTCCAGCTACACAACCCCAACATGATATGGGCTCACTGGAGAGACAGTATGTAATCACGAGAGCTAAGGACTGGATGGCACAAAAAAGCAGAATGAGTGTTTATGATTGGATATAAGAGTAAAAAGACAAGGATGTAAATGACAGCAAAGAATCATAATCCTTCTCTTGTTTACCCAAACCCTCCCTGCCTGCTGATGCTACAGGATACTGCCACAATGCTAAGTCATCATTGCAAACAGACCTCAGATCATGTAGGATAAGCTTTGTCTTTTCCCACTGCCCCTTGTCACCAGCTCCTCTCCATCAGTCTGGGGCCAACAAAAATCAAACATAAGAGCTTTGGGAAGGACAGGGTGACAGATCCCTTTCTGACAGCATGATCTTCTATTAACAAGAGGAAAATCAATATCTGCCCAATCCTGACTGGGTTAGTCCACCCATAGGGTGCTATCAAAAAACCCAATATGCCAAGTCTCTTACCTGCCAGAGTTTGAAAATACTACCTTTAAACCTCAAAATAATTTAAGGCAAGTTTTATTATCTTATTCTATTAGAAATTTTATATTGTAACCTGATATGCTTATATTTAGATTAGAAATGCAAACTTTTCAGACTGAGTGCCCAAACTGCAGCCCAAAGCCCCTTATTTATCACAAATGCCAACACTGCGATTAAGCTTGGACACTGAAGTTTTAGTTCAGAAAAAACTCATCATTAACATCTTTTGTCTTAAAAGAAAAACAACATGTGTGCCACAGGTTCACCCCTACTCAAAGCCTCACGTACTCACAGGTGAGGTTTTTGGGAGGTGACTAGATCATGGGAGTGTGTTGCTGCATTAGTCCACTGACAGGTTCAAGGCTGGGTGTGATGCTGAGAAGTGACGCCTTGTGGGAAGAGGTGAGTCACTGTGGGTGAGGCCAGGAAAGTATATCCCTCATGCCGTGATCCCCTTGCTGCTTCCTGCCACCATGCCATGAGCAAGCCTCTGCTGCATGACCCTCTGCCTTGGAGCAAGCCTAACTACATGGACTGAAACTGTTGCAGAAAGCTGAGGTAGATAGAAATATTACAGGCATGCAAATAGGGTTATAGAGCCAGTGCTGGAGACTGTATACCTTGCAACTATGAAGAAAAACAAACACCTCCTGCTGTAAGCCAGATCTCAAGGCAAAAGACAAAACAAATGCACCCATAAAGTATAAACATCAGGGTTTAACATTCTAAATAGCTATCAGTCACCTTGAGGAAGCCAGAAACAGCCATTAACCCAATCTCTGCAGGCAAAGGCACTGTTCCCACCTGCTACATGGCTCACTTCCCCATTTGATCCCAATTTAATCAATTTTACCTGAGCAATTACACTTGTAATCTTATTGGTTAACCATAGTTCTGTCCCACCTTATGCCCATCTTGTGATTTCCTTTCTTCCCCACCTTGGACCTGCCTTTTGGTTTTGCTCTATAAAAATTTCTAGAAAAGGCAGGGTCCTTGGCAACCCGCTCAGGACCCCTTCTGTCTGTCTGTCAGTCTCTGACAGAAGCTTTCTTTCTCTCAATAAATTCATTCTAAATTCTAGCAGTAGGAAGGCTGAGACACAAGTATCTCCAATGAGAAGCCAGCCTAGGCCTTACAGGAAATTCAGGGTCAACCTGGACTACATAGCTAGACTTTGTGTCAAAAAACAACAAAAATCCACAAATGATGGAGGCCAAGATGGCATAGGAGTAAGCAGCAGAGAAAACAGCCTCTCAGAGGGTCGCCATCCAGATATTGGAATATAGTATTGTGAGGAAGACAGAAGGAAGTGAGTCCACTGGACTCATGGAGAATCTGAAGTGTGAATTGAAGTCCACAGAGAAAAACTTCAACAAAGAAGATGGCAGTAGCTGGCAGTACCTTCTCCTGAGATGGGACTCACTGCACGAAACAAGCTGTTAGAACCTGCAGACACACGATGATGGTGAAGGCTGGCTACCTCAGAGGCTCTGCAGAGAGACGTGGCAGTGGAGGGGGGCAGCAGACGTGGAGGACTGCACTGACTGGCAGGGACTGCAGAGGACTGGGTCCTCCTGTGAGAGAGAGTGATTGGCCAGGAGCCATCTTGGAGATGATCAGCTGAGCTCAGAACCCAGAACTGCTGTCGGCTCCATCTGGCAGCTCCCAGCTGGGCTTGGACTTGCGGAAATTGCTTAGGTGGGGGTAAGTCCAAAGAGTCTGGTTTTGGGGCAGGCCTCTGAGATTATCCACGACTCCAACAAAAAGTTCCTGCTGGCTTGCTGGGATAGATGAACACGATTTGGGACTCTGTCTCCACAGGCTGTCTACTAGTGAAACCAAGGGAAACCTGCAAGTGAACTGGTTTTTTTTTTCCCTCTTTCTCCTTCATTGTTTTTATGAGTATGAATGTGGTTCCTGGCCTCTTTGTGGGTGTGGTTCTGTTGTGTTCTTCCTTTTATCTCTTCTATCTCTTTTCCTTCAGTCTTCTGCACCAGTTTCCCAAAGTTGACACGATCCTCCTTTGTCCCCCAACCTTACTTCTAATCTGTTCCTCCTCTTCCAGTTCTCTATTTTCTCCTTAATCCATTTTAGATTTTAACTCCTGAGGGCAAAACTGACACATTAAAGACTTTTATACTGCATATAATTTTCTGATTTGTTTTACATTTTGTTATATAATCACAAGTCTAGTTCATAGAATTAAAAGTGCCAAATTAAAGATTAGCTTAGTTTGTCATTTTGTATGCTGTGTTTGATGCTACTGTGTCAAACAGTACAGCCAAAATTGACATAAATTGTTCTAAACAGGTGTTGGTCTTGGTATTCCATTACTGAAATTGACTAAGGGTCACAGAAAATACTGTGGCATAGTTTCAAAGAACCAGGCACTGGGCCAAACAAGCCACAACTTCTCATCTCCAACAAACTGAAGAAGTCGGATCTTCCAACAGACTCAAAACCAGAAAACCAGCTACACCTGGGAGAAACCTCAGAGAAGTAGTCATCACCTAAGGGCCCTAAATACTACTAATAAATCAACCTACCATGGGCAACTTAAAAGCACCACCACAGGGATTAAACTAAAAAAGGAGAGGAAAAAAATGAAAAAACACTTAAGCAAAATGCAACCCCAGACATACAGTTCACCAAATGCAAATTTAAGAAGCAATTGAAAGGGTTTTGGCCCAGACAAGACACTGTAGCCAGGAAAGCCTCAACCGGAACCAGGAAGCCCCTATCTCCCCCACCCCTAGGATTTTACCTGTGACGCCATCTTCCCACCCCTGGGAATTTACCTATGGCGCCAAACCTAGGACCAATGGGCTACCTGTGCATCCCTAATGCCTCCTTAGGTTCCACCCCAAATCGAGGCTACTTACATACCCCCACGCCACGTGTCCGCCGGAGAGATCGCTGGACTCCAGCGGTGGGGGGGTGCCGGTGATCTCTCTCCGTGTTCTCAGAATAAAGGCCGCTTTTTATTTTATACTTCTCATCTTTTGGAAATACTTTTTATCTTTTGGAAATAATCCTATCAGCAATAAGGTGGGACAATCTGAAAGTCGCTCACCAGGCATCTCTGAAGTGGTAAAACAAAGCAACTGAATGAGGCTACAAAAAAATGAAATCAGAAATAATCTGAAAGGTTTTTGCCCTGGTATAAATTACTGTACAATTATGGCAGTATGATGGAAGCCCAAAGCGGGCATGCTTACCACTTCTTGCTTCTTCTTCAGCCCTAAATGCAACTCCCCTTCCTTTTTGCAAACACAGAGAATTCCAATCGGTTCCTCACAAGCCATCAATATCCGCCCCATGCACCACTTCTGATCAGAGTTTGTATCACCCTCTGCCTCTGTGTCTGCCCAGCCACCATGGATTGTGTGCTCCTCAGCTCAATAAACCTGTTCGTTTTGTAGTTTTTATTCCTCTATTGCACCAGAATAGCCTAACATAATCTCTCAGAGATAACTACCAATTACCAAAATACATACCAAGCTTAGAGCACATACAGACAAAAAAAGGTCAAACTTAAGAAAATTATGGAAGCTTAGCATAAGAAAGAAATGGAATCCATTAAGCAGATTCAAGCAGTTATCTAGGAGAATAAAAACTCAATTAAAAGTATTTGAAGCAGATCTGCTAATATGAGGACAGGATCTCATATTCAAGACAGGCTTACAGTTAGTGACCAAGAAAAGAAACATTTCTCAAAAGTAGTAGGGAACCATGAGAAATCAATCCAGCAGCTGCTAGATGACACAAATAATATTTATTTAGGACTGACTGACTGGAGTCAATGAAAAAGCAGGAGGCATCACAAAGGACATTTAAAAAAAAAAAGTATTCACAGACATAATGGCAGAAAACTTTCCTGGTAGAGAAAAGAATCTGACATACACATAAACAAGGATAAATATATTCTGCTTTTAACCTCCACCGTTCCTAAAATTCATCAATTTTAGAGAACGCAAAGTCATACCAAAAATCTTGTAGATTGGGAATTTCTTTCCCCTATATCAAAACCACTACAAACTAGCCAGAATAAATTTTTCCTCCTCCTTTAACATGGAGATATCAGGTATTTTGTGCCAGCCACAAGAGTATAAAAGTCACTACTCAGAAATTCCCTTTCTCAGGTATTCTATTTTCCAGAAATTTAAATAAATGAATAGCTAGCTAGTTGATTATTTACTTTGAACATTTTGAACCAGTGAAGATTCTGAGGATCATACAACTTTCACAAATGTATCTGAGTCTGTAATAGGGCTAAGAGGATAGCTAAGTGGGAGAGCACTGGGGACCACGAATTCACATGAGCTAGTTTTGCATACTTCCCTAAGGGATAAAATGGAGGTTTGGGGTTACTGGTACTACCTACTTGAGATTCCCATTCACTCGTTAGGGATGAGTCATCCTCTCCCACCCACTAAGACTAAAACCACTAGGGCAAGATCCCTCTTAGCATAAGATCATCTATGCCTTCTTGAGTCATCCTAGCATTATGTTCCAGGGCAAGATACTTCTTAGTATAAGATCATCTACACCTTCTTGAGACATCGCAGGATTATATTTGACCTCTGAGTCTTCCACTAAATTCAAATCTTTTGCAACTCCACTTATCACTGTATACACCCAATGAATGGTGGTGGCTGTCTTGGAGTGTTGCTCTCTTGGCCCATCTGGAGACACAGACTTCCCAGTCACTCATCTTGTATTACTAAATTTCTCTCTTTCTTATCATCTTGCCAGACAATGGGGCTCATGGCCCAATCCCCAATAGTAGAGCACTTGCCTAACATGTATATGGCCCTGGGTAAGATTCCCTACCATGGAAAGAAGTGAAAGGGAGGGAAAATAGCTCACAAAAGTCTATATAAATTTACCATTAATGGCTTTTAGCTGTTTCTATTTTAATATCTGTTTAAGATGTCTAAATATATTTTCATTCTTGGCAAACGTGAGGTCGTAGTTCAATCCCCAGTGTGTATATATATATAGTGTGTGTGTATATATATATATATATATATATATATTGTATATATATATATATAGCTGTATATGTATATATAGTTGTATATGTATCACTGTTCTATATATATTGTATATATACAGTTGTATATGTAGTGAATATATATATATAACTATATATATAGTGTATATATATTCATATATATATATTTTTTTTCACTGTTACTTAGAAAACACTGCCCTGCCATGCATCCCACTACATTTCCTAAAATCTTTTTTAGAAACTTTAAAAAATATTTTTCACTGCCTTTTACCCCTCAGAAATCAAAAAAAGCCCATTTCTTAAAGAAAAAAACTAAACCTATTTAAAGAAACCCATGTCATAGCACTGGAGACACTGTCACTGATTACCAGTAGAGAAGATGAATGGATTTAATCTATTTCTTATACCATTTGCTCTCAAAACAAGTAAGTTTATTTCCCCTTCATTTCTGAATCATTTATCAAATCAGTACTGATACTTGGCTGCTACTTGACTTGCCCAGTTGTTTTTGATCATCTATTCAAAATGAAATACAATGTATGTCACAGATATGTTCACATGTATATATATATATATGTATATATATGAACATATATACACATATATATATGAACATATATATACATATATATATGAACATATATATACATATATATATGAACATATATATACATATATATGAATATATATATATATATATATATGAACATATATATATTTGTTTGTTTGAGACAGTCTCACTATCAGTTCAGGCTGGCCTGGGCTGGTCTTGAATTTACAAAGATCCTCCTGCCTCAGCCTCCTGAGTGCTAGGATTACAGGAGTGAACCACCATGCCTGGTAGTTATATTTTTTTGTAGTATTTTGGGGGTCCTGTCTCAAATAGTGAGTTCTCTTTTCCCTATCTTCCTTCCTCAAATGCTCTTTGTAGTAGAGTTAAAATAGAAAGACTATAAAGGTGAAACCCTTGTGTTTTTAGAGGAAGAAGACTCAGTGAATTTTAAATTATAACTAATTAAGATGTACTGAATAATCAGTGATACCATGTTAACAATATCATGTACAGGAAAAAAAGGGCAAACAGGTCACCCCAATCATTTTCAGTTTAAGAAGTAAAGCATTTGTTAACTTGTTATCAAGTACACAAAGTAACAGCCTACCAAGTATAATTTCCAAAAATCAGACCTACCACTTAATTATTCTTTAAATAAACCAAGTATTTTCTTAATTTTAATGAATTTATTTACTGTTTGTTTTGGTTTTTTGAGACACTCTCACTATGTAGTTCAGGCTGGCCTTAAGCTCACTGCATAGCCCAGGTTGCCTTAACCTCCCAAGTGCTTCTTTTACTCCTAATCAGCTCCTTTCACTACCAAATTTTCTCAAGAACACAAAAGCAGGGCCAGGAATATAGTTCAGCGGCACAGCACCTGCCTGGCAAGCGTGAGGTCCTGAGTTGATTCCCAGTATCCAAAACAAACAAACAACAAAAAAGGAAATTTGGAAAATTCATTGATTACAATTACATTGAATTAACTGGGTACAAAAGTCTTTTAATTGTACCATATTTCATAAAATCTAACTTGCCTGTAATTACAAACTCCATTATTTCATATGACAACATTCAAGAAAAAAAAAGCTGCCAATTAAAACTATAACATGTTTGTTTATACCTTCGTGTCTTCAAGGAAAGTAAATTGTGAACAAAATCTGTTTTGGAATCAAAAAAATACTGGGAAAAAAAGAAAATATTGAAGCATTAAACATAATTCAAATAGAAGACAAAAGAAAAATTATCTACAGAGAAAATCTTGGATATTAAGAATCTTTGATATGTACTGTATTATGATAATATTCCACCACAATTTTTAATGTTTGAGCTAAAAAAAAAGTATTTTTAGCAAATATATGTAAATTAAATGAAAGGCATCAGCAAAAAGTAAATCTTAAGATTAACCCACTATTCAGTAATGAAAACAACTGAAGACCACTCAGAAACAGCTGGTCTTTAGCATGAGAAAATCTCCCTCAAAATACTTCGCCTTACTTCCGTGCACTAATAGACAAAAGGTACGTGTAGGGTTACATTCCATCCCACCTGCTACACTAAGGCAAACTGGCTCTACCAGACAGTATCTATAATTGAGAAATGCTGAGTATAGGAAAAGAAAAACAATATGCTCAAAACTGACAGATGGGAATAGTATTTAGAATTAACTTACACTTGAAAAATAAAAGTTAAAAGCTAACATGGAATCAATACTTGGCACAGTCCTTTTTTCCCTTCCAGGGAGAATCTGAGGCAGATTCCAGATTTTGTGCCAGCAAGAGTGTTTTGTCACTCTCATTGTACACAAGATATTTTAAAGTCTCCACTACAATACAAACAATGCTAAGAACTTTAACTATTAAAACATTTGTAGGCATGTTGCTATCCAAATGATTTTTGAAAATCTTTCCACTTCTCATGACAGTCCTGTGACAGTCTCTTGATAGTACTGACCTTAAATTTAAGTAAACACCCCACTGTAAAATGCTTTTCCTCCAAATCTCATCACTTGCAGAATTTTCCAAGACGCATCAATTAACCAGAATCCAGCTAACCAGCATCCCCAGTTAACTAAAAGTTATGTTTTGACACAACTTTTAGGACAAAAAAGGCAAATCTCCAGCAAAAAATTTCACTTCAAGCCTCTTGAAAAAGTCCTGCTCCATTTATTCAGTAAAATGCAAGGGCCCAGAAAAGGTCCTCAGTCAATTAATCTTACCTGGCAGGGCTCCAAGCTGGCTGTGGCGGCCAGGTCAGTCTTGCCAAGTTTACTGAGATTTCCAGAAAGGTTTAGAAAAACAAAACAAAACAACAGTGGGAGAAAAAAATAGCTCCTTTGGTTTAGGAGCTTTTCTCTAAAATTCTCTCTCCTCTGGCGATCTGATCTCTTCCCTCTACTAGCCTACTGCCAACCGCTTTTACCACGGAAATCGCAGGCAAATTTTTCATAAAAACAATCAGATGTCCACCCCACCTTTTAAAATTATCTAAGGCACAAAATCCCATACAAGGACAACAAATCGGTTGTTAAGGCACAGCATTGTCTTCACCCTCTAAATATTCAAATGTATGTAAAATCTTTCACTTACTGTAACTCAAAAACATATGGACATATATTTGAAATATTTTTGTTTAAATTCTTGAAGGTGAAGAGCTTATTTTACTAATTCAAATCTAAACTAGAGCTACTACTTAGTAATTAAGACTTTACTGTGCATTTACCCATTTTCTTCCAAATATTTAAAATTTGCCTTCTGCTACAATAATAAATGACTATTTTAGAGGTGGGGGGAACCTGCGATCATCCTTAATTCACTGCCTTGTGTACTGATGCACAAATCTGTCCTCCACACAGATAGAGCATGGGATGGCGGTTTCTTAGCACTGCATCTCCTGCAGCTCCTCGCGCGAAGCCTGAAGTAGTTGGCATTTAATAAATGCCCATTAAACACTTTCTTCCTCTCGTAACACGTTCAGGCATTCCGAAACACTCCACCCCTCCAGAGTCTGCTGCCAACTCCCGAATCCAGATCGCCTGTGGCCTTCCACTGATGAAACGAAACCTCGTCGTTCAAGAAGACCCAAGACGAGAGCAAGAAGCCACCCGATTCCATCCTGGAGGGCAGCAGATCCTCCATTCATCCCGCCAGCGTATACATCCGGAGGCCTTTCCTACCCATGTCTGGGAAGCTACGTCTCCCGCCAGGATCTGCAGACAGGGGCACGAGCCTCCGCCCCACCCCGCAGACAGCCAGGCGTCGGGACACTGGGCACGCCTGCGCAGAAGAACCTGCCTTCCACCCGCTCGGTCGCTCTCATCAGAAGGGTAACAATACCCCCTCAGAAAGACAGGCAGGGGAGGCGGGGTGGGGGGTGGGGCACTATGCGTCTGCGCGCTCCCTGACGCCTTGGCGCGGCCCTGGCGCTCTAGTCTCCACGTGAGCGCGCCCGCGCGCGCCATCACCGCTCTGGTTGACAGGGTCGTCTCACCTGAGCCGAGCTCCGCCCCCCTTCTCGCTAGAGGAGGCGGTGACCCTTCTCGGATCAGACCTGACTGTGTCGGAGGAGGCGGGAACGTCCAAACTGGCGTCTTCGTGATGGGACTTCCTCTTCTTTCTGCCCGCCCCCGGCACACCCCTCCAGTCCCCCAGCTCCTTTGGCCGGTTCGCCACCTCTCTAAAACAGCGGCGGCTGCCGCCGACAGTAAACGGAAGTGACGCAACGCAAAATCACCTAGCCACCCGCTTCATTCCCCCGCCTCCTTTATGAGCTAAAACCAATCAGCAGCTGGAGGGCGGGGCCTGGACGACTGCCTCCTGTGGGCACTGTACTATAGGAATTTACTCGGCCCCTTGAAAAACTGACCAATCCACCGTCCCAGGAGTCTGGCTGTGTTTACTACCGACTGAATCCGTGAACGCTCTGACCAATCATCATTTACCTTACAATACATGAAACTGTTATCAAACGCCTCTTAAGGCGGGACTTATCACTAAATGACTCTATGTTTGGACCATAGAAAAGTGACTGTGAGCAGCAGCTAATCAAAGCCTGTACGAGGCAAATAGATTTTTCCGCCTAGTTTCTCCAATCGCAATCACGACTGCCCGGGAGGCAGGCTCAAAGGGTAATAAAGCCTAGCCATTGGCTGGTCCTGAAAGATTTCCCTACCCTCTTAGTGCAGGTCGCTGCATAATCTGGGACTGAAGCTCAGAACTGAGTTCCGTTGCTCGAAGCCAACACTGCAGTACGATAGAAGTTGTTCTCAACTGTTACCGTTAGAAAAGGTAAAGTTAAAAGAAAAAAAGCCGTACAAAAGAAGCTACAGGAGCTGTTTTAGATTGAATTAAACCAAAATCCACGGTTGAAACAATGAATTTAAAATATCCGTCTCACGGTAGTTAAGTGGGCCGCGTGCTGCGTCCAGTCTAGAGTGGCGACCTGCCTGGGAACGCTGGCGCCTGAGGACCGGGCAGGCGGGTCCCGGACTCGGGGTTTTGTGTTTGTCTCGACATACCGTGCCACAGGTCATGCAAGCCGGCAGTCTCCAAAACCAACTTTATAATTACCTATAACTCCCTCAAAATACAATTTATTGATTTGTATCAATCTATATAGAAGTACTAAGTTCCGCCGAGATCTCGAACGTTGAAGGGTCGCGGACTTAAAGGGAAGAAGTCCGAAAAGCGCGAGCTGCGGAGCGGCCCGGACTCCCAGGCGCACGTGCGGTGGAGACTGGCGACCCCGATTCCCGACGGAGGCCGGCAGCTCGACGCCCAGGGTATGGGGCACTGAGGCGGGTGGAAACCCTTCCTCCCCAGGGGAAGAGCAGACACTATACGCGGGGCCTTTATCTTGCGGAAACCGTCCAGACACAAAGGCAGACTGTCGGACGCGACCAGATTCCGTCTGGTCTGGGTGATGCAGGGTGGGGGAAAAAAGTCTTTAAAAACGGACCTCCCTGCTTCCTCAAAACGTGACACCCAACTGCAGGCAGCTGGAGCGGTTCCTCCAGACGATGGTGTGCAGTGGGAAGCATTGCCCTTCGGGTTTATCTCTTTAAGGCCTCTGTGAAATCTCGTCAGTTTTATTCATTAAGAGTCCCTGACACTTTATAGCTTTTACACATGTATTTTGCACCAGATCGCAGAGTAAAATAGAGCTAATATTGAATACTGACACTAAGCCAGTTGGTCTTTAGGATAATTCCTAGATAACTTAGACATTATCAAATTTGTAGACTAGCAAAAATGATTTGTAAATGGGCACCCTCACATACTGTTGACAGGGTAATCACTGATACTGTCTTTGAAAATAAGCTGGTCGTGTCTAACTAAATTTAAAATAAGCATTTATTCCCTTCCAACTGGCATTTTCATTCCAGGAATGTATGCTGTGGAAATACACAAAGGTGGAAAAATACGTGAGGTTGTTTAATGACAGCTTTGTTGGGGGAACATAACCTCGAGTTATATCTGCAGAAGAGTACCATATATAGTGATACATACACATATATGTGTTTATACCATTAATGGATACATCTACACAAAATAAGAACCAATAGGCTGATTGGTGTAGATCAGTGTATTAAGGCTTTTTTGGCATGCACAAGGCCCTGGGTTCAATCCCCAGCACCCTCCACTCTCAAGAAACAACCACCACCAGCATGTGGAGGTATACATAAAAGCTTGTAAATACATGGCAGTGTATGAAAAGATACTATCAAACTGTTCACCATGGTTACCTTGTCACTAGACAGGGTCTGAGAAGTGTCTCAAAGCAGGAGAGGAAGATTTCAGTTTGTCCCTACATTTAGAGTAGGTTCACCATCTTTCATCACAGAAATGCATTTCAGGATTTGTCAATGAAAGGGATAGACAGATTGATTAGAGTTAAAGAAGTACAGTCTCGGAAAAAAAAGTAAATTCTCTGGGAAAGTAGAGTGTGAGCATTCAGAAAGAGACTTACGGTCTGAGGTGGGGATATTTGTGTTCTTCGGGGATATTTGTGTTCAACACATGATCTAGGATAAGTAATTTTTAGTGTCTGCAGGTGGGCTAGTCTGTAGGAGGAAGAGCACAGACAAATTTACAGGTAAAAGTGATAAGCCCAATTTATAGACTTATTGTATGTTTTAAAACTCAGGATTTTGAGGGAGTTGCCTGGAATGGAAAAAAAACAAAAGTATTGTAAACTAAGGTAACTTTGTGTCCTGAACCTGCAGTTTTCTTAAAAGTACAATTTTAAAAGTATGATTCTCTCTCTGTGTGTGTTCTCTCTCATCTGTGTTTCCCCCTTCAAAACAAGTTTTCTCTCATTGCTGGGACAAAATACATACGTGATAGCCAAAATGAAGGAAACAAAGGTTTATTTAGCTTACAGTTTTTGGAGGCTTCAGACCATACTTAGCTGGTTCCAAGGCAGGGTGGTGTGGCTAAGGGGTAACCCTTTATGGTGCCACAAGCAAGAAAAAGGGCAAAAGGGAAAAGCACACCTCCCTTATATTGTATGCTCGTTACCCACCTTTGGATTGGGGTAGGTCTCATCCAGCCAATTCCAGCACTAGACAATGAACCAATCAAACACTAGATACAGCTGCCACCATGACTGCATGAGGCTTTAAAGGGCAATCCAAACACAAACCATAACAAGGTCTTGTTGAGTCACTAAGTTTCCAGGCTGGGCTTCAACTTATAAACTTCCTGTCTCAATCTCCAAGAGTGCCTTATCTCTTTTTTACCTATCTATTTCTCCTGTCATATCTGAACCTCAGTGAAAGATTGGGAGTTTTCAGGAAATAATTTAAAAAGACCTTCTTAATTTTTAGGTTTATAAGATTACTATATTAATTCTTACAGCAGGTATTATTACTTTAGTAGTATTTATGAAGACCAGAATTATAGGTGGTTTGGGCAAAATTCTTTCAAAAGCAATCAAAATTTTTCAATGAAAGTATCAATAAGAAAAAAGTATTGATAAGATACTTTTTTCCCCTGCCATACTGGGCATTGAACTCAGGATCTTCACAGTGAGCCTAGGCATTCACCACTACTCCCAGCTCCTAGTTTAAAACAATGGAGTACTAGTATATGAAAAGACAGACAAGTCAGTGAATCGAAACAGTAGGCCCAGAAGTAAAATTAAATATTGGAGAATTTGGCATTGTTTGATTAAAGTAGTCACTCTCACTCATTGCTTGTTAAGTGTAGACATAGGTAGCGTTACCAGGTGTGGTGGTGTAGGCCTATAATCCCAACATTCCAGAGGCTCAGGCAGGAGACTGCTCAGTTTAAAAGCCAGTTTGGGCTACAAAGTGAGTTCAAAGCCATCCCCAACTGTATCCTGTCTCAGAAAAAAAGATTTTGCAGAGTGTAGAGATGACAATTTGGCAATATCTATTGCTAGAATCAACTTGGCCCCACTCGTGATATGAAAATTATTTTAAGTTTACAATATTTGAATGAACAACAACCACAGGGGTAAAAATATGAAAACTTCTTTTGTTGGCTTAAGCAAAGCCTTTAGAAGATACAGCTACCATAAATTGCCTCTCTTGAAGGTTAATAAACAGAAAGAATATAGACCACTCACACTTGTATGAGAAATTACATTTTTAAGACCTTTATCAAAATTTTAGGTACCTTCTGCCTGGGCCCAATAGCACGTGCCTACAGTCCTGGCCACTTGAGATACTTAAATGGAAGGTCACTTGTGGTAGGAGTTTGACACCAATCTAGGTAAGACAGCATGAACCTATTTCAAAAAATTTTTTTCTTGTATCTTCCATTTTTTAAAATTAGTTTCCTTTAATGCTCCCGGAAGTCCCAAACCCCTTTCATATTAAGATGGTGTGTAAACACTCAACTCTAGGGGTTTGGAGAGCCTCTTCATTGTGTGCTCCCTGGCAAATGAATACTATTTTCCCTGTTACTTTCTATTGTTTGTTAATTAGTACATCTCAGGGTCTCAATCTGAAGTGGTGGAGAGAAGTTGTTCCCCCCTCCCCAACACTAATACAATTCAAAATACAAACTCCTTTATTCTCAGTGACTACACTTTTAGGATTACATCATACACATATAAACCATATAAAATCACATATGTACAAAGTTATTTATGGTAGCAATAGTTGCATTAGTAAACAACCCATAACAGGCTAAATATTCATTGTGAGGGCTCTCATGAGCTCATCTAGATTGAATTACCTCCCAAAGGCATCAGTTCCTAATAATACTGCCATCTTAGAGTCTAGGACTTCAACATATGAATTTTGAATGGAACTGTTATAAAATCCGTGCCTTTATAAGAACTCTGTCTCTGCTATGTGAGGCTAGAGTGAAAAAACAGTTACTATTCAGGAAAGAGGCAATCTCACCCTGACTCAAAACAGCCTTGACTTTAGACTTCCAAACCTCCACAACTGCAAGAAATAAATGTTTAAGCCAACCACTTTGTGCTGTTTTGTTATAATAGCCCCAGAAAACTAAAATAGTCAAATTTGCCATCCTCTGCCCTGGGACAACTGTTGAAAACACTATAGACAAGGAGGTACATTAAATAAAGCAATTGTGGAAATAAAATGAAAAGCTAAAAAAATTTCAATTCAAAAACAATGAAGAAAAAAAGAAACAAAAAGGAGATGTAACAAATGCAAAATAGTAATTGTATTTACTAGAATGTGGGGCACTCTATTCCATAGTGACAAAAATGAAATTGTAGATGGATAAGGTGGGGTACAAGCAAATTTACTTAAAAGATACAAAGGCAAGAAAGTAAAAGAAGAAGCCAATCTTTGCCCTCCTATGAGCCAGGGGCAGCCATGCAGGCTGGGAGGAGAACCAAGAAGCCAACCCATGCCTTCCATGAGCCAGCCGTGTAGGCTAAGAGACAAGGAGACACCCCCTTTATCACACTTGAAAGCATCTGGCTGATGTGGAGGGACACAGGCTGAGATGATACAGCTGAAGTGAAAAAATAACTTAATGCTTTTATTGTTTGATTGACTTTGCAGGCCTAAACCAGTAGTCTGAGCATCTATTCAGAGCATAGTGACATGTAATATAGCAACTGTGGAGGATTTCCTTATATCTTGGTTTTGAAATCCAATATTGTTCTCACTGTTCTGTTTCATTTTTTTACATTGTATTTTTTTTATTCTCTTTAAAATTAAAAAAAGAAAGTAAAAGATATAAAGACAAGGAAGTGAAGCTCCCACCAGCCAAGAAGTGGTTCTGATGAGAATACCCAAGAAAGCTGTTTGTACAGGGGTTTTAAGGAGCTTTAGGAGGCGCTCAGGGCACTGTGCAAACAATATAATCTCTCCCTACAGGAGACTAAATATTTTTAGGGTCCAGCCTGTGCAGTGTTCATGCAGTGTCTATGCAGTGCTCATGCAGTGCTCAGTGTCTACGCAGTGCTCATGCAGTGATCATGCAGTGTCTATGCAGTGCTCACGTGCCTTTAAACGACGGTTTCCATGAGCTGTCTGGGACCTATGCAGAGCATGACTGGGCAATTAAACTGATACAGCTAAAAAGTTCTTACAACTTGGCATTATCTACCCTAGAGTCTGCTATTTCTCATTTTTTAAAGTTTCTTTTAGGGGGGCTGGGGATTTAGCTCAGCAGCATAAGCGCCTTCCTTGCAAGTGTGCGGTAGTGAGTTTGATCGCTGGTACTGATAAAGAAGACAAAAAAAAAGTTTCTTTTAGGAAATTAGTTTCTGAGAGCAAGAGTCATATGTGGAGACTGAACCCAGGGCTTCATGCATGTTAGGCAAGTGTTGTACCTCTGCCACTTTGAGATTGTGTATTTCCATTTTTCACCTTCTAAAGTGCCTTGCACAATATCAGAAGGCCAAAGATTTTAAAATATCTAAACTTTTTTCGAAGATAAATTTAATTGACTATTAGGAATCTTTAAAACCCTAGGACATCATTCAAAGTAACTCATTTTACAAAGCAGACATGGGGGCTGGGGGTTTAGCTCAGTGGCTTAAGCACTTGCCTGGCAAGCATGAGGTCACAAGTTCAATCCCTGGTACAAAAAAAAGAAAGCAGACATGGGTTGAGGCTACTGTTCGTGATAGAACACTTGCCTAGTACATAGAAAACCCAGGGTTTGATCCCACTACCCTCAAAAAAAGTACAAAAATGCTTGCTCAAAATGTTTGCAGAAATATACATAGTGGTAAAATAGAAATAGGTTAAATGGTCAGCTAAAGGACTGGGTCTCTAAGCACTGTGGTAACACTCAACAAAGTGTCATATGAGATTTGAGAGAATGCTTGCAGGATGATGCTAAGTTCTAGAAAGAGAAGCTATCACACTGAATATAATATATCAATTATAGCTGGGGATTTAGCTCAACAGTATAAGCACCTTCGTGGCAAGCGCAAGGTCGTGAGTTTGATCTGTGGTACCAAATATATATATATATATATCAATTATAATACATATAGATGGAGAGAAAACCAGATAGTTGATGGCTGCCTTTAGGTAGGGTAGGATCATGGATTACTATAATTCTTTATATTTTTCTGTATTTTCTCAATGTTCTACACCAAATCTGTATTGCTTTGATATTTTTAAAAAATCTAACATTTTGGGAGAAAATTGAAATATTTCATTGGACAAATCGAATATGCTTAAATTTGATACATGCTATAAAAATCTGAATCTTTTTTATAAAAAATTGAAGGAATGATGTAGTTTAACAGAAGCAAAGTCAGGAGTTTTTGCTTATGGTTAATCCCAACTAAATTGTCTATAAGAAGTATAGATGCTTAGGATAAGTGCACCTGATGGAGAAGCACTGAATATTCTGGAACAAGGGAGTTGACAGATTATCCCCGTTCTGTGCGACCAGGGCAGAGCTGCAGCAGTGACCCACACAGGGCCTCGCAGGGTAAGAAGGATCCAAATATGCCGGCATAGTCAGGAGGTGATCGAGATGAGGAAGCACCTACAAATTTTGGTGTGTGAGAAGCTGGGGAGGAATCACTGAAGTAAGAGACGAAGAGATAAATGCAAAGCAAATAAGGCAGCCAGGATGGAGTGTCACCTAGATCACCTGGCTCTGGGATCCCCTCGGGATACTCAGAGCACACTTTTGGTAGGTCTGGTGGGTCAGCGGGTCATGGAAATGTGGGGGTCTGTGTGTGACCCTTTGCCCCTTCTTCTCAGGCACTGTTGCCCTGTTCTGCTTCCCAGCCACAATGAGGTAAGCAGTTTTGTTTAACCGCAGCCCTTCCACCGTGGTGTTTCTACCTGAAATTAGCTGGGCATGGAATGAATCTCTTTAAAACATGAGCCAAATTAAACCTCTCTTTTAGGTCATTTGGTTAGGTATTGTGTCCAGCAACGAGAAACTACATACAAGAGTGTGTAGGTTTTTAAAGTGATCAGGTTTTTAAAGTACGTAGGACAGAGGCACTGGTTTTGTCCTATGTGGCTCTGGAAAGCAGGACTAGAACTGTAGGGGGAACTACAGCTGTAGATTCAGAAGGAGGCAGATTCAGTGAGGGGCTGGGGGTTATTCCAGGTGAAGTCTGCCTTATGAAGAGTTGCTCATGTTTACAGGTATGAGCATGTAGAATCTGCATGGGTGACATGAATGAAGAGAAAGGAATGACAGAGAACACAACAGAAAAGCAAGAAGAAACATGTAAACCTAGGAAATAAGGAAAAGGAGGGACAGAGGCACAAGAGAGGAAGAGACCAGGCTGAAGAAGCGATTTTCAGAGTACAGGCTGAATCACAACAAACCATCTGACTTGCCTTCAAGTTTTCACTAGCAATATCCTGAAACACCGGCAGATGGCGATATTACCCCAGGAAAAGAGGACTTTGTTTCTCTCCAAAAATCCTGTGTTCTCTGAAAAATGAAAGTGAATTCTGTAAGTCTTGGTTTCCAAACTAAATTGACAAACATTTTAATGCACAATTCTTCTTTTTAAAAATCTATTTTAGTTCAAAGAGAAGAAAACATTTCAAAATACGTGAAAATTTTTCTTGGTGATTCTAATTCTTCATGATTCTAATCTAGAAGAGAACGTTATAGATTTTTGTTTTTTGGTCTTTGCCTGAATACCATTCCATCCATCCTGCTCAACCTCAGTTATTTATGCATCTATATATATATACAAATACACTGTATGCGTGTTTTGAATCACTTTTTTTTCTTTTGAATCACTTCTAAATAATTCAACAACACAGGGGTATATTACAATCTGTTTTACAGCCTCTCCATCAATAACACTTCCTTCTCCAGATAGAACATCTTATAACTTTGAATTTTTGCCTGTGGTAATTCTGAGAGTGTTCATTCCTCTCAGGTGCATGCTGCTCTTCACTATTTTCCCCAGTAACAAAGCAGCCAATCCTGAAGACTTTCAGAGAATGTGTATGACTGCAAAGATTGCCTTAAGAAGGAATAAACCTGGTATAACAAGAGCTTCCCAAACTTCAGTTATACTCATATCATCTACTGATTCTGATTCAGAAGATTTGACAGGACTGGAGATACTAGCAATACCATTATCGCTGGCACCAAGGGCGAAACTCTTATCTTAGGATCTACATTTGGTCTCTTACAGCCACTACTGTTTTCTTTGTCACTTTTTAACTTTGACTTAGCTGTTCATTTCCATTCAACCAACACATATTTGCAGAGTATTATACGTAAACCCTATGTAGCTGATTTCAAATTCAATATATCAAATACTAAACATTTTTGAGTTCTAGTTTCTGTGCTAGGCTCCTAGGATTATTGATGATTCAGACCCATTTCTCATTCATTCCACATTTTCTGAAGGGGTACTCTGTGCAGCCACTGTTCCAGGAGTTGGAAACAGAACAGTGAAGAAAACTAAATCTCTGTTTATTATAAACTCAACTGTTTATGAATAAACACAAATAAGGTTAGAGACAAACATATAAATGGGGGCACAGACAAAAAATTAGACAAGACTCTTTTTCTTATTTTTCCCCTCCTGAACAATTCCATAGGGTCAACCAGAGAAAGAACTGACAGCTAAATACAACCTGTAATTTTTTGGAACCAGGGATCAAACTCATGACCTTGCGCTTGCCAGGCAGGTGCTTATGCCACTGAGCTAAACCCCCAGCAACACTTGATTCTTGACAAGTTCCTTTTGCTATAAAATTCTTGTTGGGACAATTGGTGAATATGAATGGAGTGTGAAAATTATATGGTAGTAATGTCAATGTTAATGCCTTGTGATGGCTGTAAGGTAGTTATTTAGGGAGAGTCTGTGTGAGTCAACTTTCTATTACTGTATCAAAATAGAATATCAGCTAATGAGAGGGAAGGTGTAATTTGGTTCATAGTTTTGGAGATTTCAGTATATGACTAACTGACCCCACTGGTTTGGTCATGTGGCCACACAGCACATCAAGGCATGTGCTAGAGCAAACCCACTTACCTCGGGGCCAAGAACTAAAAGTGAGAAAGGAAGGGCGCATCCCTTAGGGACCTGCGGATCTCTACTGGGCTCTTAAAGTTTCTACCACTTTCCTACAGCTTGAGGAACAAGCCTTTAATGCTTGGGGGTACATTTAAAACCTAAATGATAGCAGTCCTTGTCTATAAAAAGTACTATAGTCTTATGAGGTAAATGGGTATCCGGTTGACAGTTTAAATGGTTCAAGACAAATAAGTCTGAGAGTGGGTCATTAGAAACGTGTGACAAGTGCCAGGCAGTGGGGCATGAAAATGTTAGGGCTATCAGGAAGCTCCTGGGTATTTAGGGGCAGATTCTTAAAAGCTGGCAATTTGGAAAACAGAGATTAATCAGTCATGAGCAGTACAGCATTTGGGCAAGCGAGTCTTGGACCTGGGACTCTGCTTTTGGCCAGGTGTGATATCACATTCCTGCAAACACAGCATTTACGAGATTGAGGAAGGGTTGAATGACGCCAGCCTTCGGCTACACAGACTTTGTTTCAAAAACACAGACACAAAAGTCATGCTTTTGCCTTTTCCTACTCTGATGAGTTTCCAAGAGGAAAAAACGGCTGTTGAGTCAGTAGAAAAAAGAGGGTCAAAATCCTGTCTTCTAACCGCGACCCCGCCGCCCCTATACTTAGAAGTTGCTGAGCCTCTCACCACCTGGTCCATCCTCTTCGGGTTGCACAGGTGGGTGCACGCCTCAGTTGTTGGAGAGATCGTGGCGAGGAGCTGTGGTCAAATCTTGGATTAAAGGATTAAAGGATTGGGGGCTCACGTGTATGGATGGGAGACAGAGGCTCTGGTACCAGGTGTCACCTTCATTTACAGTTCCCGCCAGAGAACTTTAAATTTCAATGTGCCTTTGTCTTTCGAGGTCTTAGGGAGGTATCTTTGTCACGATACGAGAAAGACGAATCTCCACAGTGGCGAAAGCCTCACACGCCGCTCGGCTGAAGCAGCAGGACCTGTGCGTGGACTCCAGTCCTGATAAACCTGCAAGGCAAAGGCGCGGAGAGCGCTGGGCCAATCAGGAGCTGCGCCTCCCACGGGCGGGCCTAGAGCAGCGCGCGATTCCTTGCTCGAAATGGGTGGAACAGAAAATGGGAGGGACCTACGTGCCCCAGAGAGTAGGGGGCGGACCACGCCTACGCGCGATCTGGGCGGGTCCCGGAGAGGCCACGCCTCTTCCGGCTCGCGGTAGGTTGTGGGAACTCGCGTGCTAACCAGCTTGGTGATAGTTCCGCTCTTGTTCCTTAGGCTTCACTGCCGGGATGGCGGCAAAGGTGGTACGCAGCGCGAGGTGGCAGTACTGTGGGGAGCCGGATGAGAAGCAGAGAGCAGTACTGGGTAAAGACCGTAGTACTGGAGCACACTTCCGAACCCTCTCCCCTGCAGTCCTTCGGTCCCGCGTCAAGTGTCTACCTGGGCCGGGAGCCACTGGTCTCCATCACCTCCCTTCCAAACTTCACCCACACTTCGTTTTGCCCCGCTTTGAATTTCCATGTCTATCAGTAACACTCGCTTTCCTCCTCCCCTGTATCCTGCTGTCATCTGATTCTTGGGCTGCTCTCTTCCAGTTCAGTTCTCCAATGGGAAGCTGCAGAATCCAGGCAACCTGCGCTTCACTTTATACAACAGCACTGACTCCGCAAACCCTAGGAAGAGGAGTCAGCGGATCTTGGTAAGTGCTATAGTTCGTATGGATTCCGCTCTGCATAGTTCAGGAGGCCCCTTGGTGTGGACAAAAGGGGGGGCACAGGGGAGAAGGAGGATTGTAGCAAATGAATTTTGGAAGAACTCATGTGAGCTCTGACAGCTTGCGAATGAGGATAGGCTCCACAAGTATTGGATTTTTGATCAAATGCTTCTTTTCATACATTTTTTCAACATGCATTTATTGAACATCTATTGTATCCCAGTGCAGTAGGCTACTGGGGAAACAGCTATGTTACACTTGGCCCTACTCTGAGGGCCTTCCTGCTCCAGCGCGGGGTTTTGGACCTACTGATTTGGTACTGATAATCTGTTTTTGTGGGTGACAGGCTTATGCATCACAGGTGTAGAGTCTCAGGGCTCTATCTGCTAGAAACTAGTGGCAGTATACCACAACCCTTGTGGCTCGTGAGGTTCTTGGGACGAAGGACCATGAGAGGATGAGAAAATAAAGAGACAAAGCTGGGGTTAGGTGGAGCCCTTACTCTTGCAATGGGAGGACTGATACTGCTCAACCAAGGCAGCATGTTTATTTATATACTGGGAAGGATGATGTCAATTTCAGCTCCTCTGCCTAACAACCCATTGCTTGAATTGTCCGGGAGCTTGCTGTTTTTCTGGGCTCTAGCTTCTTCACATGGTTGACTGGGAGCTCTTTGTTTTTTGGTAGGGTCACCTATGGATCATGTCTTAGGTCAATTTCCAGCTTCAAGGGTTCCCAACAGCACCACATTGTTGAGAACCTCTGCTCTAAAGGAAGGACTACTATCTGTGAGCTTGTGCAGCAGACAAAGCTCAGTTGGAGGGAAGAATGTAAGACAGAGTGAGCTCAGTGGGAAGAGAGGTCTCTGTTTGCCAGAGTGCCTTTGTGGTGGAAGGTGCCAGAGCCTTGAGGCATGTGGGAGGTTTTGAGAGCCAGTGTCTTGGTGTTCCAAGAGGAGAGGATAGGAAGGACCAAGGCAGGGAAGAAGAAAAGTTCGGCTGTGACTAGGAAGTGAATCTGTCATTTCTAGGGCTCCCGAGGTTGTGAAGAGCAGTCATTGGAGAAGCAGGCAAAGATCAAAAATGTTGGATTTTGGGTAAAGAAGTTGCCTGCAGAATCACTTTGCATATCTGTTAGGGCTTCTGTGTTGGGTCCTGTGGCACAGCTCCCTCCAAAACTTTTTTTATCAGTTAGAAGCCAGCACTGTCTAGGCCTTCCTTCAAATGTCTTTTTGCCTTTCCCCCAGGGGTATGCCTGGTTCCTGTGCAGATGGTGGGATAGGATCATTTCCTAGAAGGTCTCTAGCAGTAATCCACTATGATCCAGGATTGTAAAGCTTCTTCAAATGCTTAATATCTTTCAGCATTGGTTGTTAATTGATTACCTTTTTCTCTGCATTGTAGGCAGCTGAAACTGACAGACTTTCCTATGTTGGAAACAATTTTGGGACTGGAGCCCTCAAATGTAACTCTCTATGCAGGTAATGATGAAGGACAGGGTAAGGGGGAAGGGTGATGGGGAGGTTTGGCTGAGACACTGACAGCCCGCAGTTTCTATCCAGTCTTGGCAATGACTGAGCAGCTCAGCCCTTTACTGACTCCTGTATAATGAGGACTGTCCTGAGCGGATGGTCTGTAGTTCTGAGGGAGGTTGTGAGGCACACAGGGTCTCTATGGTGATACCAGAGGGCCTTCTCAGAGCCATGCCCTGATAGAAGGCAGATTGATGTGTAAGTGCTTACAACTTAATACTGTATCATGTCCTTGTAAAGGTGCTCTATTTTGTATTGGTATTTTCTCATTATTTGCCTCCATAAAATTCAGTGCACATCTGGGCACAGGAGTGCATGCCTCTAATACCAGCGCTTGGGAGGCTGAGGCAGAAGGATTACCATAAGTTTGAGGCCATTCTGGGCTACCTAGTAAGACCCCGTTTCAAAAACCAAAAGCAAAAGAAAATTGGTGTAAAGCATAATTGTAGATTCTTATGCCTCAGAAGAGTACATCAGATGGTTGGCTACCAATGTTGCCAGGAAGCCTTTTATTCCACATATCCCTCACGTTTCCTTTCCCATCCCTTCCTTTTCCCTCTCCATGCATGCAGGTCAGTGCATTCCTTGGGTTGTTGGGACAGAAGGAAGGGTGAGGAAAAGGAAGTTGTATAAACAGTACCCTGAACAACTCCTGTGGTGTTTCTTCTTTATTCAGGCACTTTGTGGGGATTTTAAACAAGACCTCTGGCCAAATGGAAGTGTATGATGCTGAATTGTTCAACATGCAGCCACTCTTTGCAGGTAGGGCTCAGGGACTGTGCAGTAACACTGCATAGTGTGAGTTCATTTAAGTTTGTGGTGTGTAAAGCACTTTTTTTTTTTTTTTTTTGGTACCGGGATCAAACTCATGTCCTCATGCTTGCCAGGCAGGCGCTTATATTGCTGAGCTAAACCCTCAGTCCTGTAAAGCACATTTTGTAACTTTCTACAAGGCTGCGTTTCTGCTAGTTTTGTTTTATTTCCAATGCTGGGGATTGAACCCAGGGCCCTATGCATGTTAGGCAGTGCTCTACCATTGAAGTCCCTAGCCCTCGTTTTTATGTTATTGTCCTTTGAGACATTGTCTCACTGAGTGGCTTAGGCTGTCCTGAACTTGCAGTCCTCCTACTTCACACTTGGCTGGCCCAGTTTTTTGTTTTTGAAGTTTTCAAACGTGTAAATTTTGCAAGCTTTTTTATGACCTACTATGCCCCAGGCACCAAGCTAGGGGCTGTGGATGACACCAACCCTGTCTCCACAGTGTTACAGGTAGAATCAGAAACCAACCATTAAAGCGGGTTGAACAGTGATCAGTGTAGAATGTTGGAGGACCTGTCTCAAAGAAAATTCTTTTCTAAGACTTTTCTTAATTCTTAACTGCTTTGCAAGTGGAGGTTTTAGAATCTTTGGTAGGTGAAAGAAACTCCTTAAAGGTAAGAGAATAATTTCCATGTGGATGGAAAGTCACTATAGTAATTTTTTTTAATCTAATGAAGTTACTTGCTTCTCTTCAACATCTTACAGTGCACAGAGCTAGAGTGAGATCTTCTGAAATCTTAAATACCGTCAGACTGCAGGCCCCTGGCTCTCTAAATCTCAAAGCCTGAATCTTTAGTGATGTCTTAGGTAGTAGGAGATGGTCATAGAGAATTGTCATGAGGATTGCTATGAGTCTGTATTAGTATTAGTTTTGACTTTATTCTCTTTAATCTGTGGTTCCATTCTTTTGAGAATCTGCTAGACCTAGATTGACTTTTCAAAAACATATGATGTACAAAATACAAAAATATATATGAGGTTCTACATATTCAAGGATTGATATATGTAAAATTTATAAATAGTGGTTTATGTGAATTAGCACGCATGCATGCCTACACACACACATTAATCTTGGGTCTTTACTGTGTGCTTGTCAGTGTTCTAAACACTCCATTGGTTATTTCATACATCTTTTTTTTTTTTTTTTTACTTCATACATCCTGATACTCAGTTTTTATTGATGGTAAAACTGGCACAGATGTTAGATGCTTTTTTTTGTCTTTTTGAGACAGGGTCTTGCTGTGCAGTTCAGCCTGGCCTTGAGCTCACTGTGTAGCCCAGGCTGGTCTCGAACTCGAAAGGATCCGAGTGCTGGGATTACAGGCGTGAGCCACCACGCCCAGCTCCAGATGTTAGATGCTTTGGGAGTGCACTGCTGTTTCATACCTTCTAATATAAGGCCACTCCAAAGCTGTACTCTTGTCCACTAGATTGTTGAGTACTTAGTGGAAAGTTGGAGAGTACCATGTAAGAAATACACATTTCATATTAATGCCTGTTTTTAAGTTTGTTACCAGAAGAACAACACTATTTATGGAAAGAGTTGAAGGCTTGCTCTCTAACCCTGTCATTGCCTCTGCCTGGTGAATACACCTAAGGCAAGTCCTTTCCTCTAGAGGCCTCAGTTTTTCTTTTTCATACAATGAGGAGTTGGAACAGATGACTCCTTCATTTGACTCCTTATCTGTTCTGTTGTTCTGTTGTGTGCTACAGCTACATATTAAATGTTGACAGTATACATTCATGTTAGGCTCATGGAAGTTCTGTAAATTGGTTTTCTTAGATTACTTGCAAAAAAATAATTTTAAACACTATTAGTATTTGTAGACCTTACAGAGCCAATCATGGTGGCACATTCTTATAATTCTGGCTTCTCAGAGGCAGGAGGCTGAGGCAGGAAGAATGAAGTGAGCCCGTGAGTTTCAGCCTAGCCTAGCCTAGCCTAGCCTGGGGACATTGAGAACATGTCTTAAAAAATGAAACAAAAACTATGTATATCTGTGTATCTTACAGTTTGCTTCCCCCCGCTCTGTTTTTGTATTTTGATAGATGAATCAATTGAGAGTGAACCCATCTTGGAGAATCAGACCAAAACTTTCAGAGAAAAGGTGAGGAGGACAGAGTCACAGTGAGGGAGCTAAGGCGGTTCCTGCTGGCCTCACCTTGCTCCGTTAGTATAGAGGGCTGTTGACCTCCAGTCTCCTGGTGTGCCAGCTCCTTCACTCTTGAGCCTTTGGACAGTTGCCTTCTGCAGAGGCCTCCTGGTCTCACAAAACAGACTTGCTTCTGCCTTGGGCAACTGAATGTGGCTCTGTGCCAGAGTTTGGGACTTGCTCTCTGGGCTGATGAGATGTAGCCTAACACTTGCTTGCAGAATTTGGTCCAAGATTCAGAAAGTTTTGGTTGTGCCTGGAAACTTTTACATTAAAACACATTAAGCTTTGGGATTTTCAGTGTAGTAAGTTCCTACAAAGATCATTTCCAGGACGGCACATTGATCGACTCTTCAGTGCTGCCTGGAGCACTGCCTTGAGAAGAGCATGGGACTGCTCGGTTAGCAGTGTCTATTAGGGTGTGAGACGGGAGAGCGGTGAGCTGCGTGCCACAAATTTACCGATTGTAATTCTATAAGCATTTTCATTCTGCTGATGGAAAAGCTATTGATTTGTAAATGGCCCTATGTAAGTTTATAAAGTAAGTATGTCAAATTATTAATATCCTCTGATATGTGCAGCAGTCCTATGAAGTACAGTGTAGAGGTACAACAGGAATGACTCAACTTGCCTTAGAAGTGAGGTGACGATGGCCTGGGGAGCTAGAGTTTCCTTGTAGTTATATAGCTGGTGATAGCAGTGCTTGCCCAGACTGCCCCCACTCACAGATTTGCCTCTTGCACAGATGGATTCCTGCATTGAAGCCTTTGGTACCACCAAACAGAAACGCGCTCTGAACTCCAGGAGAATGAACAAAGTTGGCAGTGAATCTTTGAATCTCGCAGTAGCTAAAGCTGCAGATGAGATCATCCATGCAAAGGGTGTGGAAGGTAAGCAGCTGGGATTTGGCTAAGAATTGCCCTCAAAGAAAGCTTTTTCTTCCTTTGAGATCTTCGGCAGCATTGAGACTGAGGTGATGGAGTTAAGGCTGGATTCCTTCCTGTTTGCCGGGGGCCTTCTCAGGGAGTGTCAGGAAGCACTAAAGGGCACGCATGTGATGCTGCTCTCTGTGACTTAGAGTCAAGGGGAAAGAGACAGGCGTGGGAGCTGTTAGGCATCTGCCCTGTTCCTGATGACAAGGTTACCGGCTGCAGGGCACAGATCAAGGTGGAAGTCTCATGTCTTCTGTGAGTCCCAGAACCGTGAGTCAAAAAGGCTGATGCGATAGTGGCATTGAGCCTCCAGAGGCACTTTTTACTTTGGGGGTCAGTGAGTCTTTCTTTGGTCCTTGACAGTTTGCATATTTAATCATATTATTTTAAAATTGTTGTTCAAATACATTGAAAGAACATTTGCGAAAGTTTATTAAGAATGGAATTCTACACATTTAAAGGAAATCTTTCCATACTCGATAATTACTGTATATAAATGTTTTCTTTTAATACAATTACAATTTTATTTTTTAGGTCTGGGGATTTAGCTCAGCAGCATAAGCACCTGCCTTGCAAACAGGTGATTGTAAGTTCGATCCCCGGTACCAAAAAAAAGTAAAAACAAAACAAAACAAAAAAATTTTTATTTTTTGTCTTCTAGTACAGATCTACTGCTATATTTTTGTATTTTCCAAGTGATTAGCCAGTCATTCCCCAACTCCATCCTCAGGAGATTTAAAGTCATCTTCAGCATTTTACCACATTCTAAATGTTACTTGTGTTCTCTTTCTTGTTCTGACTGCCTAGTGCTGGACCAACACCTGGTGCTTGCCAGGCAGGTACTATGCCGTGTTAACTGGTTTCTTACCTCATAGGGCAGAGTGCCCCTCCATTTTCATTTTTTCAAAATGTACTGGTTGTTAAAGTATGCTTTTCGTTCCAGGTGATAGTAAGAATTATTTTGTCAAGTTCCTTTAAAAATCCAATTGGAAATAGCTGGGTATGGTTGTGTACATCTATAATCCCAGCACTTGGGAGACTGAGGCAGGAGGGTTGTTGTGAGTTCAAGGCCAGCCTGAATTTTGGGACCAGACCTTGTCTCAAAACAAAACAAAAATCCAATTAGGATTAATGTGGGAGGAGAATTAACATTTTTACAATATTGTGTTTTCCTACCTGGAAACATAGAAATAGGTCTCTCTATTTATTCAGATGTACTTTGTTTGTTTTTATTTTTGTAACTGAGGCTACAAAATTCAGTGATCCTGCTGCCTCAGCCTCCCCAGTGCTGGGATTACAAGCAAACTTCTGGCTTTTTTTTTTTTTTTTTTAAACAGAAGCTATGTAATTCAGGCTGGCCTTGATTCCACTATGTATCCCAGGCTGGCCTCAAGCTCATGATGATCCTCCTGTCTCAGCCTCCCAAGTGCTGAGACTGCAGGCATGTGGCGCCATGCCCAGCTAGATAGACATACTTTGAATGTCTAAGTAAAGTTTTTAAAATTTCGTTAAGTTTACTTTGAAGTATTAAAAGACATTAAATAGGAAAATAATTAAGCTACATTCCCAGTATTGGTCTATCAGGCCACTACTAGAACTTCTCTGTTTTCTTCTCCATTATCTTTATGTCTATTTAGTTCTTACATTGTTATTCTCATGGGTTGATTACAGTTTTTATATTCTGATTTTCTTCCGCTCATATGGGTGGTGAAATTTTTTGCCACTTAAGCCTTAAAGGCTGTTTTGAGTATCTTTCATTTCCTTTCATTTCTTGTTGTGTTGGGGACTGAACCAGGACCTCACACACGCTATCCAAGCGCTCTCCCACTGACGTACATTCCCAGCCCTCTCCCTTATACCTTCTTTCATATTGTACTGTAAATGTTTCTCAGCATGTCTGTCTCTCCCAGCTCCACTGTGAGGTACTTGCCTGTGCCGTATCTACTTCCTGTAGGTAGCAGTCCTCGAGGGTCAGCCCGGAGAGCAGTTTCGGGTACCGTGGCAAAGGCACTCAGATTCAGTGTTTCTAGGCCAATTGTGATCTTAACTGGGGAACCCGAAAGCACACAAGGTGATACTAACACTCCCTTCCTCTCTACTGAAAGCACTGGTCAGTGATGCCACCCAGGACGACATGCAGGATGACTCCCTCTACCTTCCTCCCTGCTACGCTGATGCAACCAAGCCTGAAGATGTGTATAAATTTGAAGACAGTATCCTTTTTGTGACAGAAAAGATGCCTTATTTCATGTTGTGATGTTTATGCAGCCAGACTTCCTAAAGGTGTCCTTCACCTTGTGACGGTCATAAAAACATCTAAACCTTTGCACTTGTCACTAGCTGACACCAGTCACCCCTGGGGTTCAGACCATCCCTTAGCAAAGCGCCTGGTGCCCACAGCTCAGCTCTGTGTGAGGCACTCTCCGCAAACAGTCACAATAAAATTTTTTTGAACTGGCTAAAGACCAGAGTCGAAGACAGATTGATTTTGTGAAAGGAAGAGCCGGAGCATAGAATTTTGATTCTCGATGGGCCTGGTTAGGTGAAAAGTGCCTCAGTAGCTTTCAGTATAAAGAGAAGGAATCAAGCCCTGGGCTAGAGTCTGAGATGCTGGTCCCTGCACTCTGCCCCGGTAGATTGTGTGAGCCCCTTCCCCTCTGTCAGCCGCATCTTCCCCATCTGAAATGAGGTCACTGTGAGATGAGCTAGCTTGTTGGATGTTTCCAATTTGGGGAGATGTTTTTCTTCACCTGAAACTAGTTCTGTCCCCTGCGGAATATGATGCTCTTAAGGCTCCATCTGAAGCTTTCAGGAAGGTCACATCAGAAGAGATACTGAAGATGATTGAAGAGAACAGGTACTCCTCTTTGGGCAGATGGGGAGTCCAGGGAGTGACATTGGGAAACAACAGGAATCAGACGTGAAGTGTGGGCCCTTAGGGTGTCAGTGAAGAAGTATCTGTAATGAGCCAGTGTTTTCTTGACCCTCGGTTCCCAAGAACTCGGGCAGGTTCAAGGGAGGGAGTTGACATCTGACTGTGTGGAACCTGCAGCTGCATCATTATTTTTTTGTTTTTTTTTTTATCAGTACCAGGGTTTGAACTCGTGACTGTGTGCTTGCAGGGCAGGCGCTTATGCCACTGAGCTAAATCCCCAGCCCCCCAATCATTGGTTTTTATAAATGAAGAAGCCAGGGCATAGAGACATAAAGAAACTTGGTCAAGCCACTAGCAGAGAGGGGACACAAACCCAGTCAGTTTGTCTCTGGAGCTTAGGCTTCTGACCATTAATGCAGCAGTGTATAAAGTCTGGCCTGCTGCCTATAAATAAAAGGCACAAAAGTAAAGTTTTACTGAAACACAGGACCATTTACTAACGTCAGTGGTGTCTCTGGCTGCTTTTGTACTACAGTACAGAGACAAGAGGGTCCAAGAGTTTGTATGTGCACAGAACCTAGCGCATGCTGTCTGGCTCTTCCTAGCCCCTGCCCTTCCGTGAGTGTGGCGGAAAGGAGGGGTCTCAGTGCTCACTGTGAGAGGGCGCGTCCTGACAGGACCTGTCTTAACCCTGGCGTATTCTTTTCTTTGTGTTGTTTCAGCCACTGCTGCTTTGTCATAGAAGCGTTGAAGTCCTTACCATCAAATGAGGAGAGCAGAGATCACCAGGCCCGGTGTATATGGTTTCTAGATACTCTCATCAGATTTCGAGCTCAGAAAGTGATAAAGCGGAAAAGTAAGCCCATAATAACATTTTATTGTAGTTGTTTCCAGTCTGTTGACAGTAATTTTAGATCAGTTCTAACAAGAGCAGAAAACAGATGTGTCTGCTTAATGTTAAACTCTGTTGCAGTGCGATCCTCACGGCACTGCTGATGGCTGGAGGACTCACCAGCTTCCGCTCTCCTTCTGCCTGCATCTCTGTTTCCTCTTCTGGAAACGCAGACAGGTTGGGTTGTGTGATTGCTCAGGAGTTTCCAGAGCTAAGTCACATTCACTACTTCTGTCTTAGGCAAAGTATAGTATCCAGGTCTAATAAAATGCAAATGCTAAGTGATTTAGAATAAACATCACTTATGCAGGAAGAAAAAAACTGGCTTTGTGGCAGGTTTGTGTTATGTGAGTTTTAGAAGACCGAGTCCATTTCTCATGGTAATCCCAAGGCCACTCTATGTGGTAGCAATAATCTACCAAGCATTACAAACCCAACAAGAGATGTGACTTTCGTCGCAGCTGTATTCAGTCATTGTTACCAAGACTGAGTGCCCAAGGGCCGGTATATGCTTGCAGTGTACTTTTATTTTCACATTCCAGTCGTCTTCCTCCTCTTCCTCTGCTTTCCTTTGCAGCCTAGGTTTTGTTCCTAGTGTCGCATGAATTCTCCGTCCTTACGTCTCACTGGAGTCTGTTCTTTCTGTCTTCATGGCCCCATCACAAACATTTCTTGTGCGTGTTTGAGCTGCATGCAGAAGCACAGCTGAGTATATTTTCTCTCTGCAGTGGCTGTTCTGGGTCTTGGGAATCTGCTTCTCTTGCTGTGTGGCTCTGCTCATTGTAGTGACCCATCTGTCAGCCTCTTCCAGCTCATGGGTAAGGCATGGCTCGAGGGTTTTTCAAGAAAATGATCAAACATGGCTTTGTGTTGCAGGTGCCCTGGGACCTGGAATCCCCCACATCATCAACACCAAACTGCTGAAGCACTTTACCTGCTTGACTTACAACAATGGCAGGTCAGGAGGGTAGATTTTGGGGGGTTTTGCCTGTGAAAAAGAAAGGTGTGGGGTGGAGATGAACAGCAGGGGACTGGTTTCAATTCCATCACCAGGGGTACACAGTGCTGAAGAAATTGCTGCCATTTGGCGGGTCCTGAGTCAGATGAACTGGAGACATGCTATGAATTAACATACTGTAACCTTGGGAAAGTTAATGTTATCTGTTAGGAATGTTAAAGGCTGTGAGAAGCCCTGAAATAAAGACTTATTTTACTTTATACACCTATTTTGAGGAGCTGCTCCTAATGTCCTGCAGAACTGGTGTCCTAGGGAAGGACAGTATCACAGAAAAGGGCAGTGCTGTGTGGTGACTTTGGGGACAGAACCCCACACGGCACCCGGGCTTCTTTCTGTCTCTTTGCTTATATGTGTTACTTGCTCCAGAATATACTTGGGAGAAGTAGTAGCAACTGAGTTTGGGGTGACTTCCTGACTACCCCGCTGAGAGGGCAGGGACAGACCAGGAGGGCCTTCACAGGGAAGGGTTCCAGCACTGCGGGGCATAGTATGTTGTCCACTTAGAGGAAATGCTGGGCTTAGCTCCCTGCTCACTCTGTACGAGTTGGGCACTTTGGAAGGAATAAATGATGTTGCTCAAATTCCTTTCCCTTTCCCCAAGTCAGGAAAACATTGAAGGCAGGAACAATAGATTTGGATGTTTTTGTTGTGTTCTTAGAATTTATTTTTTTATTGTTGCTGATTTTACAGTTTACGGAACTTAATTTCGAATTCTATGAAAGCAAAGATCACCGCATATGTGATCATACTTGCCTTGCACATAAGTGACTTCCAGATTGATCTGACAGTGTTACAGCGAGACTTGAAACTCAGTGAGAAAAGGTGAGTACACAGAACCACAAACTTCATGCAGGGTGCCTGATGTATTTCCTCTAGTACCACTAGGAAGCACAAGGTACCGCTGCAAGGCATGGGAATGTTTCACACGGGAAAATCATGGGGCCAGAGGACAGATTTTAGTGAGTGAATGTGTAGCTAGACCTTGAGGGTCTCTTTGTTTGCACCATACTAAATTTTTCCACGTTACCTCATTAATTTCTCTAAAAGACAATGGAATAATGTGAAGTCCAGAAAAATAGTGATTTCTCCTACTAAGAGGGAGTTGCTGGGCTTCAGAGCCTGAGCCTTTCCATAGCATTCTGGTAACAGCAGCCTCTGTTCTCTGAATTGCTGCCTCTACAGAGAGGAGTTCTGTGTGGTTCCAAGGGGTGAACTCTGGGCTGGGAGTACAGAACCCAGCTTCAGCTTAGCAGGCAGAGCCTTAAGAGTTGATAGAAGGGGCCCTTCAAGGCAAGGCAGAGCCACTGTTTACCAGGGATGCTGCATCTGCATTTGTCTGGCTGAATGGGAATAGCTGGTAGACAGCCTTTCCGGGGCCTTCCAGCCTTGCTAGCAGAGATTTGTGCAGGGTACAGCAGAGCCCCTCGGGATCCTTGCTTGGTGGATGGAAGGCATCTAGGGCCCCAGACTGTGCTCTTCAGGAGCCTCTACTTTACAGCAGTCACTGAAGGTGCTTCCGAGGGTTGTCTATAAACTTGCTGCCACACGCAGTGCACTTGAAAAACAAGTGGTCAGGAGTTAGGCCCTTTCAGATTTTACGGCAAGTGCTTAATCCTGGCTGTTTTATAGATTAATACAGGTAGTAAAGATAATTATTAACAAGATCTAGAGAACCTGGTTTTCCATCATCTGTATGGATGTTTTTTGGTGGTCTCTCAATATGTGTTTTTATTGTTCACGTGAATGCCTCCTCCCCAACCCCATATTGCAGATGGAATCCAGGGCCTTTACACTGAGCTACAGTGTGTGGGTATTTTCTGACAACAACACTTTAAGCTCTCTGTTAGCTTGGAGAGAGGAGAGGGTGGAAGCATCCTGCCTGCCCCTCTGCTGGGGGCTTGCTGCTGTTGGCCAGTTTTGGGATTCTGTCTTTACCTGCAGCATGAATATGCTGTTCCCTCTTGCAAACCTCCCTAAATGTACCTGTCCATCTGTCCTGCTTGTTTTTTTCCTAGAATGACTGAGATAGCGAAAGCCATGAGGTTGAAGATCTCTAAAAGAAAGGTATCACTGGCACCCGGCAGGGAAGAGGACCACAAGCTGGGTACTCTCTCCATCCCACTACCTCCAGCTCACAACTCAAACCAGCAGTCAAAGCGGAAGAAGATGTAACCCGATGTACGCTTTCCTAGCAGGCATTCTGGCCCTCATAGCTACTGCTTCAAAAGAAAACAAAAAGAGCTTTGCCTTAGGACATAAAGCCAGAAGCCGGCATTCCAATCATGCCTACTGTATGCTGAAGTGTAAGGTGCCAGCCAGACTGGACCTCACCTCCCTGTGGTGGGACTGTGATTGTGAGAAGTGGCAGATGGTTCTCATGTTCATGTGTGCGGGGATTGGGGACAGCAAGGTCTCGAAAGTCAGAGCCAAAAGATTTCACTAGGTGAACCCTGAGCCACATCTACTCAATGGTTTGTAAGAGTCTGGAGGGCCAGTCGGGGAGGTGTGAGGCGGCCCTGGCATGGCACGGTCTCCATTAAGACAATCCAGTTATCAACTGGGCATAACAAAACAAGAAGTGGAGGGAGTGAATTCAAACAACCTTCTTCCTGGCATGATGGGCCTTACTCCAGTTGGATTTTTTTGCTTCCACGAAACCAAACTGCAGCAGCCAGGAGGACTGCACTAAGAAATGTAGGGCACTGGCTGCGGCTGCTGCTTCCCAGTCCTCGAGGACCATGTGAATCGGAGTAAGACAACAAAGGGGATTTTAACAGACATGAGGTATAAGAATTAGCAGCAGCAGATATGGGACTTTTTTGTTTTCTGGTGTGTTTTTTTTTTTGTTTTGTTTTTATTGGTACCAAGGATCGAACTTACAACTGCCTGCTTGCAAGGCAGGCGCTTATGCTGCTGAGCTAAATCCCCAGCCCCTGGTGTTTTGTTTTTTAATAAAAGGATATCCTCAGTTTTTCTCACGAGAGACTAAGATAGAATACCTAAGCAAAGGAAAAAAACTACCCATTACTGCAAATGCATTCAGGGCCATTTTGGACACTGCAGTGATGCAAAAAGATTGCTTTAAAGCTTCAGTTTGACAAAATAGATACCGTTTATTTACTTTTGTTGACACTGTCACTGTGCTTTTACTTGACCTTTTATAAAAGTAACAAATGAATCCTAAGGCTTACTAAGACGGGTTAAGAGGGGCTGGGGATTTAGCTCAGTGGCATAAGCGCCTGCCTCAAAAGCAGGCAGTCGTGAGTTTGATCCCTGGTACCGGTAAAAACAAAAAAGCCAAAAAAAAAAAAAAAAAAAAAGACAGGTTGAGAACTAGTACATTTTGAATATGTAGCCTCATTTAAAACTTTGAGGAGAATTTCCATTTATAGACAACAATTATAATAACATAGAAAATATTGTAGACGAAGTGGAAGTGGCAATTTGACAGTAGATAAATAAAGTAATAAAACACATTTTATCTTAGTTACTATGTCTCTGTACTCAGTAGCTCAGATACAATATGGCTGAAATTTGAAAATACTAATTTGGAAACCAGTATTTGAAATGTTATACAATTGCTTATAAAAGCAGGGAATCTAATCTTCAACTGCAATGTCTGGTCCATAACAGGAGGAAAGTACAAGGAATCAAAAAGGTATTAAACACACAGGCAAAATAATATTTAAAATTTATTAGTTCATAAAAAGCAAAGGTTGTGCTTGAGGAACAGGCATTTCCAGGGACAGGAAGTCACATCAGGGGCTCTGAGCTATGGAGTCAGCTGGGAACCACCAGAAACTCTCGGGGAGAAGCAGTATCTATATGATATCAGCCAGGCCTTGAAGCCTACCTACTTCTCTGACCTCCCAGTGTTCTCTTCCTTCCACAGAGAAGGGAGTGAGCTGCTAAAAGAAACATAGACAGGTCTGGGTAATGCAGGCTGTCATCCCACATTCTGGGAGACTGGGCAACTAAGGTGAGCACCCACCCACCTGACAGGCACCACCAATGAGTGAGTAGCAAGCATGGAAAGAGATCTGGGCTCAGGAGGAGCACTGCCTAGACAACACCATGACCTGGTCACCTGGGAGTACCAGTGCTTCCAAGGGGCTGCCTCTAGGGAGGCACCAGGGGAGAAGGAACTGGGCAAGAGATCATTACTTCCATAAGCCTTCCAAAGCACATCTTTTTCCAAAAGATGTCCTGTGATACAAATTACAGACCATGAACTTTTGAAACTGCATGACTTACTAGCACCAAGAGGATGACTTTCTGATAATGATTCCCTGGCACCAGTCATCAATGTTTAAAATATCACTACCAACCAAGTATTTTATACTAATAACTGCAGCTACGTTTAAGATCATGGTACTCTTAATTTACTCCAGCCCTAAAGTAGGTAGCAGTACTGACGTAAAGCACTTTAGTGGCAAAAATATGCACGGTTATATCTGAAAGTTCTGACCACCATTTAGTACAAAGGGTGACAACTGACCTCCGAAATGCAACTCAGAGCCAGGTATGGTGGAGGAGGCCTGTGATCGCAGCATTCTGGATGCTGAGGAAGGAGAATCTCTACGAGTTTCAACATAGCCTGGACTACAAAATGATTTCAAAGCCAGCCCGACTTGTGCAAGGGTAACCTATCTCAAACCAAGCAAAACAAAACACCTAAATAAAATAAAAGAGATAATTCTATATATCAGTTGTTTCAGCTAGGCGAGGATACAATCTAATTCTCAAAAATCCAATTTTAGCTCAATCTGCCTCAAAATCTGAAGGTTACTTTCAGTGAGTGATGTTTGGCTCTAGGAGAGACTTGACAAAGGCTACAGAGTTGGTGACTAAGATACCAGGAATCCTTTGCCCTGTCACAGCTTCCTATAATGACAATGATGCCACTGCTTCCACTGGATTCTTGCAAAAACAGTCACAGAACAGGTGAAGGATTGTGATGTCTCCTGTCTTTGTTTTGTTGCCCAGAATTGCCTTGGGTATTCTAGCTCTCTTCTGGTTCCAGGGGAATTTTAGGAGTGATTTCTCTCAATATAGGATGTATGCTAAACGTAATTTGATTGGAATTTCATGAAATATAACAACTTTGGGAGAATAGACAGATTCATACTGTTTCTTCTTTTCCATGAGGAAGAAATGTCTTTCCATTTTCTGAAATCCTCTTTATTTTTTTAAGAGTACTGTACTTTCAAGGTATAGATTTTTTTTACTTCCTTTCTTAGACTGATTACTAAGTGTTTCATTTATGTGGATGTTATTGTGAGGGGTGTTGTTTCCCTTATTTCTCACTCAGTGAATTTGCTGTTTGTGTATAAGAATGCTATTGTTTTTAGGTGTTGATTCTGTATACAGCTATATAACTGATTTTGGATGTTACTTCTAGAAGTCTTTCAATGGAAATTTGGGGGTCTTCTAGGTAGAACATCATGTCATCTGCAAATAATGATAATTGACTTCTTCCTTTCCCACACTTTTTCATTTCTCTCTCTCCTTTAATTTCTCTAGCTAATATTTCCAGAACTGTATTTAACAGAATTGTTGATAGTGGAATCCTTGTCTTTTTCCTGATTTTAAGTCAAAGGTTTTCTTCTTTGGTCTCTGAGTAAGATGTTGACAATTGGTTTATCATTTATGGCTTTTATCAGATTGGGAATACACCATCTATGTGAATTTTCCAAGGGGATTTTACCATGAATTAATACTGGATTTTGTCAAAAGATTTTTCTGCATGTATTGAGATGACTATGTGATTCTTCAGCTTTGTTGATTTTGCATATTACATTTACTGATTTGTGGATGTTGAACCACCCTTTCATTCCTGGGATGAATTCCACTTGATTTTACTGTACAAACTTTTTGATAATTTGTTGCCTTATGTGTGCCAGTTTTGTACTGAGGATTTTTCCATCTATATTTATCAGAGAGATTGGCTTGTAATTCTCTTTTTTGGTTGTCATTCTCTGATGGTGGTATTAGGGTAAGCACAAGAACATGTGGCATGTGGACAATCAAGATGTGTAGATATCAAGGTGTGTAGATAAATTTGGGACTAAAATATCTATTGATGGAAGAAGAAACCATCCTGGTGAACAAAGGACTTTTCTTCCTTGTCAAGATAATTTCAATGACTTATGAGTATGTGCTCTGGCAGTGTTTTAGGCTGTGTCTTTCAAAAATGCACTTCTTAGACATTGGGAGACACAGCATACCATTATCTCAACATTGATTTTCCTTCCCCACCTACATAACACCATCAACCCAGAGGTAACCAGTGTGAATGGGTGGGGTTGTAAGGATGGGCACATGGCAGGCTTATGGGGATATGTGGCACTGGGTTGTTCCAAGACAGAGAGCAAAATAAGAGCCCCTGAAGATCTCTCAGCAGAGGAAAACTGAGCCCATGATGCCTGACAGATCAACTTTTCCCAAGTTCCCATCAATTCACCTCCTAACCAGCTCAGCCATGGGCCACTCCTGTTGCTAGGTTCTGGATCAAACACTGAACATTCCAGGCCAGCACTGTGCTCAGCCAACTAGTCATGCAGCCTTTTGTGATGGAGTGGGCTCATGCTGTGGGTCTTTTGATCCTCCTCTTGATTTCATGGAGAACTTTTCGTCCTCTTAGAAATTGGTTGGCAGTGCGCAGAGAAACACAGCTCATTGTCCAGCTTGCAGGACTCATTATTGAAAAGTGCCAACTGTTGGACAAACTTAGCCAGCTTCAGAAGGAACATGAAGCCTAAGAGACAACTCTCAAGGAGGTCTGCCTAGAAGAGGAGGCCAGGGCAGCCCAGCGTCGGAAGGCAGCCAACAAGAAGGTGTTGTTGTTGAAGAAGAGAGCCAAGATTCAAGGGCAGATATACCGCCTCCTCAAAGAATGAAAAGAAGACCAATCAGGATGTTTGAATAACAGCAATCAGAGACTAATGTCCCTGTAATTTGCAGTCCAAGGGCTATGAATTCCTGTGAGGAAAATAAGGGCTAAACACCAACTGCAAAATGTCTGACCTCAAGCAAAGGGAAACATAGGCTTTCCCCATTGCTTCTCTCATCATTTCACTCTTTACTTTTCCATTTAATTGGTATAAAAGTATGTCAAAATTCTAACCCAGTTGCATAGCTTTGCAAACTCCATCTGCACTGTTCCACTGGTGCCAGCTTAAATAAAGCACTCTTTTCAAAGATGTCTTGCCCTGTTTTTTGTTTTGTTTTGTTTTTAACATCTTGGGGCCTTGTTTTTGGGGTACAGAATGTTACTATAACTATTGTATAATTTAATATGTCTGCTCTCTGTTTGCAACAGACATACTAAATGTATCTGTCTGTCTGGCAGTCTTAATTAACTAGAGCTCATTTAAGGGGTACCACTTATATTACAAGATCCTTAAAAATGAGCATACAGCTTGTTTCTTAGTTAGATCTTACTTTCTTGGAATTATAGTATGTAAATTTCCTACAAACCTAAATTCAGAGACCAAAGTAATTCAAGATCTCGGCTACTCTACTCAATGTATCTGATGTTTATGGTATGAAGGAAAACAGAACCAGTAATTTATTTCACTCTCTCACATCCAGATTTCTCAACCTAGTTTCCTCTTGAGCTACTAACTTTGACCTACTGAGAAAACTAAACTTCCAGGCCCAAAGAAAAGGAAAAAAGCATGAAGAGAAAGACCAGCAGCAATGTATTATTTCATTAGTAGTATTATCACTGGCAATACTAGAGGGCAGTGTGAGGCAACACTGAAAGGCCAAAGTGCAAGTAAAAAATGAAATACCTTGCAGACACTGGGTGCCATTATGCATATACACGCCTGGTTAACTCAGTGGGTGTGACCTGACCTAGCTGCTAAACTCCTTGGCAGGGCAAATTGATTTGTATGAGAACCCTGCCCCAGTGTTTAAGAGTTATAATGAGAGTTGAAGGCTGCTTGTGTGCTAAGCAGTCTTGAAAGGCACAGTCCTGGCTGTCTGCACCATGGCCTGGGCTCCTCTCCTGCTCATACTTCTGGCTCACATCACAGGTCAGCAAGGATTTTCTGGCTGAGGCTGTGGAAGGCAGCATGGCTGCCTCTGTCTCCTGACCATCAGGTTCCTCATTTATTTTCAGGGGCCGAATCCCAGACTGTGGTGACTCAGGAATCTTCACTGTAAATCTCTCCTGGAGGGAGTCACTCTTACCTGTGCCTCCAGTACTGGGGCTGTCACAACGAGTCACCATGCTAGTTTGGTCCAACAAAAGCAAAACCAAACATCACAGTGGCTAATATATGGTACTAGCAACTGGATTTCTGGTGTCCCTGACAAGTTCTCAGGCTCCTTGCTTGAAGCCAAGGCTGCCCTCCCCAACACAGGAGCCCAGGCTGAACATGAGACCACCTATTACTGTACCTCAGTGATACACACCTATGGGGAAGTGAGACATAAACATCATTGTTCAGCTACAACTTGTGACTCTCATCACATCCTTACATCCAAATACAAAGACTAGAGTAGGAATCATTTCTGATGGCTGAGAGAGATACGAATCTTTGGGGACTAGAGAGAGGGCCATGGTAGGCAACCACTGCAGAGACCCAGTGAACTTCATCTTCACTAATTTTCATCCTTCTCCCATGATTTTCTCTGAGCAGAGGCCTGTACTGAGCAACTGATACAGTGCTATTCAGAACCTAGAAACTAGTTAATGAAAGGACATGACTTAGGAGATGGTAATATCTCCACTGGGTCTTTCCTTGGACCAGCTAAGGAGAAGTCTCTTCCACCAAGAATCTTTTCACAATCAGTAGCACAGGCCGCCACCCCAAGGGGGAGGAGAGAACTCCAAGGGGAGAACTAGAGAAGGGCTTATGCTCCTGAGACATGTCACTCATGAATGCAGTCAGAAATCCTGCATCAGAGAACAAGGAAAGGCTATAGCAGTTTGTAGTTTTTCTTATCTACGACCAGCAAATGTTAAGTGTCTTCTCATGGTGTATGTGAACCAGGAAGGATCTAAATGTTTCAGTTTCAAGTAACTGTTGTATAAAAATTTGATTTTGGACTCCGGGAGAACATGGCGGACAGACAACAGCAACTACCGGAAGCTCTCTGAAAGGCTCGGCTCAGAGGCCAGGAATGATGCGGACTAAGGAGACACAAACCAGTAGAGATATGCTCTGCTGACTCAGGAACGAACTGGGCTGAGAGAAACCAACTTAGAATACAGTCCTGGCGCTAAAATAGGAACAGAAAAGACTCGGTGTAGAGGCTGGACCCCGCGCCATTGGAAACCACGATTTGGGTTTCCCGCCGCCCGGCGGCTGGCTGCCTCCACAGCAGCTCGGCAAGGAGAGACGCGCAGAGCTCTGGGAACGGGAGTCTGCGAACGGAGTCGAAAACAGGACGGACAAGGAGGCGTACACGAAAACTGACTGGTGGCGAGGTGAGTGAGAAACTGACCCCCTACCACAGTTTGACTCCAGCGGAGGACTTTCTGGGCTCAGGCAGTCCTGTAAGAGCAGGGCGCGGTGGCAACTCCAGCCACACATTCCCCTCTCGGATGGGATTGGTGAAAAGTGCCTGGCCTGAGTGACGCTGCTGGCGGACTGGGTAGGCTGGCCTAACCCAGATCCCAGAGCCTGACGGTGGCCCGGAGGAGCCACTGACTCCCGCGTAGGCTGCCTCCTCCGCAACTCCCTGGTGCACAGCGGTGGGCGGGAACAACTAGCCAGCGCAATTTGATCAGGCTGCGGCTGACAGGCAGGGAAGCCGGGCCTCCTATGTAAGCTTGCATTTTATAAGGAACAGAAAATATGGGGAAGGGAAGCAACAAAAAAGGCTCCTCGGCCCCCAATCCTGAGAAACAGGCAATAGTGGACACTGCACCAATATACATTAAGCGCCATATAGAGAGCCTCATAGACCAATTCAGGAATGAAGTTATCAATGACCTGAAGCTAGAAGTATGCAGAATAGTTAGAGAAATGCTAAGCACCACCCAGGAAAAAAACAGATGGTGGAATGGAAGAACAGAAAAAGAGGGGAGAATTGCTTGATGGAGAAAACAGAGAAAGCATTGAGTATGTGAAGCAGGTTCAAAGGGACTATCAAGAAATTAAGAAGTCTATCCAAGACTGGCATAACAGCTTGAAAGAAACTAAGGACAGACTATCTGAACTGGAGGGCAGACTTGAAATATGGGAGAATGAAATGAAAAACTTCTTAAAAATAACAAAGAAACAAACAGCAATAATACAAAGACAAGAAGATGATAAGAGGAGCCATAACTTAAGGATTAAGAACATAAAAGAAGAAGTAGGGACACAAACAAGTGAACTACAAAAGCTACTCACAGAAATAATCCAGGAGAATTTTCCTAATTTAGCAAAAGGTAAAGATACTCAGATGTATGAGGCATACAGGACCCCAGCTACCTACAACCCTAACAGAGAAACACCCAGGCATATAATAATAAAAATTCCAGAAATTCAATACAAGAACAGAATATTAAAAGCTGTAAGAGACAAGAAACAGATCACTTACAAGGGAACACCCATCAGAATTACAGCAGATTTCTCTTCACAAACCATCAAATCACGAAGAGCATGGGGGGAAATAATTCAAGCTTTGAAAGATAATAATCTCCAGCCAAGATTGAGATATCCTGCACAACTGTCCCTGGAAATTGATGGAAAAACGAGGTGCTTCCAGGATAAAGAGGAACTGGGGGAATTTGCAACCACCAATTCAACCCTACAGAAAGTATTGCAGGATATTCTAAAAAAAAGAAAAATACAAAGAACCCAGAAATAGTGGCGGGGAGGCCACAACGAATGGAGCAGAGAACAAAATGAAGAAGACAAACTGACAGCTACTGACAGAAAAAGAGCTCAACAGAAATGAGGCAGAGAAGATTGGATGATAGGAACAGCTATTTTGGAGAAAATGACATCTTAATAGGTAATGCTGATTTAGTACCATCTTGTTTTGAAGTCTCATCTAGCTTTTGTTCTTCTGTCTCCAATGGTCTAAACAGGTTGTATCTTATTGGATTTTGTTATGTACGATAGTATAAGCAAAAACCTTTTAAAGACAAGGAGATTATACAGAGACCATTGTTCATTTTCTGTTAGTCGATTCTAAATACTCTATAATGCTGTCATTCTCTTAAATGGTTTTACATTGTTTTGATATACTTAATGCTACAGTATATGAAGTTGTACTCAAGGACTTCAGGGAGGGAGTCAATATGGTAACTACTTTTTGGTCGGAAATATCTGGTGGTGAAACACTATTCTGCTTAAATGGTTATGTTTTGATCTGCCCTGTTTCGCTGTTATGCCCTCTTTTTTCTCAATCTCCACTCCATTATTTACTTTTTTATTTTTATCCATTTAATTAAAGGGAAAAATATAGCAGGATATAATATAGTAACCCACTTTGACTTTCTATTATCTCGATTTGAAGCCCTGTATTACTCTCACCATCTTGTTTTTGACTGAGGTTCCTCTATTCTGTTTTGCTGGATAGTATTAGGTTCGAAAGTTTAGGCATCAGCTGAGAAGATAATGAGATTCATTATAACGCCCATTCTCGTTGACTTTTATCTACTTTTGAAGACCTACAATGTCTCCAATGTTTTGGTTTTGTCGGTTTTATTCTTTACTGTTTTGTTCAATTGTATTACAACTAATGATATAGGCAATTCTATTAGAAATAGCGGGAGGCATTATGGTAACCATTGTTGATCATCTTGTATTATGTTTTTATATTATCTATTATATCCACCCTTTTGACTTGACCGATTCTGTTCTGTTATGTCACCTTTGGTTTTACTCTCTTCCAAAAAAGTAATAAGAACCGTGAGAGCAATGAAACCCAAAATGTGTAATAGTCACTGTACAAAAGAGAGGAAAAGAAAGTGCTCTAAACTATATAACTGCATGTATATTTAAATGTATAAGATAGAAAATGATATCACAGAGTTTTATTGGATCATTGAACAGAACTGTTTGCAGTATCATTGTTGGAATGTCCACTCTACAAGCTTTAATTTTGTGACTTGAACAATTATTTCTAAGATGGCAATATGTAATCCATTAACTAGTGATTTCCTACTGCGCAATTTTTTCTTCTGTAAATCTGTATAACTTGTACCCCTTCACTGTTTTTTTTCTTTCTTTTCTTTTCTCCTTAAATAAAA